AGCGCAACTTGTCTACCTCTTATTCCAGCTCCAGTATCTTCTCGTCGTCCTCAGGGTGCGTGCGTTATACGTTGCCAGGTCGAGTCGTCGTAGGTGGCAACCGAATCTTCATCGGAGATTCTTAGCACCCCCTGCCCCGCCGTTACCATGGTCGCCACCGTAGCCAGGAATAGCGGGGCCGCCGGGGACTGGGGGCCGTTTGTTTGCGTCGTTGCTCATGGGGGGATATTTGCCATAGTTGCCACGCTTGGCGAGCGGGTTGGCAACCGCAGTTTTTTATTATGTTAAAAATGAATATTTCTTATTGCAGTGAGGATTTGTAAAATTTTCTGAGCTTTACAAGCGGTGCAGTGATCGCACCAGACGTCTGCTACTGCTCCTGTAACCGGTCTTTGTATTTTGCACCTGGTGTATATGAGATGGTAGAACGCCACATATACACGCCGAACGTTAGTCAAAATATCTTTTCATAACATTGCTTTCACGTTCTTTTTTTAACATTGAAATAATAAACAAATTCACAGTCCACTTCATAGTAAGTGGACCCATTGGCGACAGTAGACCCCCCCAAAAACTTTTAACAATTATGCTACAGATGCATTGTTACCACTGAGAACTAGGAGTGGGCTGTAACATATAAAATAGAATATCGGTTCCGCCTGTTCCAGTTTCACATAAATAGCAGTTCCAAAAACCTGTTACAAAATAGCAGTTTTATTAGCATCCAAACGGAGACCTTTAATTTCACATTCCTCTTTCATACACGTGACTAATGCCTGCAGTTCTGCTTCTGATGGTGCAATGAGCACTGCATCATCAGCATACAGCAGACAATTTACTTTAATGTCACCCAATTTCACTCCCAAATAGCTATTTTTCAGCTTCTGTAAACAGCTGTCGAGATACAGTATGAACAGCCAGGAAGACATGACACAACCCTGTTTTACGCCCGCTTGGACGCTAAACATGGGTGACAGGTCATGCCCTACCCGCACACAGGCTTTACGGTCGTAGTAAAGTGACTGCACAGCCCTTAACAATCGACCATCCACACCATATCCCGGCAACAGTTCCCACATTTTCTTCCTTATAACCTTATCAAATGCTTTCTCCAGATCCACAAAAGCACAGAAAATGCTCTGGTTAACATTCAGAAGCTTTTCCGTGATCATGCGGAGAGAAAACATTTGATCCGTGCATCCTCTTCCAGGTCTAAATCCGCATTGTGCCTCCCATAAGAATCTTTCCGATTTCTCTTGCAACCTACATGTCAAAACCTTCGAGTAAACTTTACTTGCTAAACTGGTCAAGCTGATCGCTCGATAGCACCCGCAGTCAAAATATGAACCTTTACTTTTATATAAAGGCACAATGACCGCGGATCGCCAATCATCCGGGACATCTCCCGTCCGCCAGCACAAATTGCACAGCAGACGAAAGCTGTCCCAGACGCGATGCCCACCGTAATTGACCATTTCAGCAGTAACTCTGTCTAGTCCCGCAGCCTTACCACATTTCAAACTTCGAATCGCACGTTCAATCTCTTTCATGCTGATGACCTCAGTGCCATCGAGGTCCGTGTCTGGCGTGCCAATCATGGCGTCACCCCCGGATCCTTCACTAAGATCATGATACGCATACATTTCTCTATAAAATTCACTCCATCGCTGCATGACGTCCAATTTTTCTGAGAGGACGTCATTGGTTCTCGAAAGCACTTTGTTCATTTTTAAGGCTGTCGCACCACTCCGAGACCTTCCAACTTCTTTCCAGAAGAGTTTGGAGTTTTTCTTAAAGTTCAACCTCTCGTCCGCTTCTATTCTACACCTTTCACGTACTTCCTCAATCAATGTTTTCGCATGAACTTTTTGCAGCTTATATCTTTCTTTCATCTTCTCTCTCATATGCTTATCGTTACTAGAGGCCAAGAAGTCTAACCATGCTTTTTTCTTCTTTTTTGCAGCTTCTATCACTCATCATTCCACCATGCATCTCTACTTTTACTACTACCTCTTTTTGTCGTTCCACATACTTCTTCCGCTGCACTTACCATTCCATCCCTAAGGTTCTGCCATGTTCTCTCCACACATTTTTTCCTGCGATCGATGGTGTCAAGCTTTTCGGCTACCCTCGTGTGATATTTGTCCCTAGTATCCGCTTCCTGAAGCTTCCAGCTTCGGATGCGACAGACCGACTGTGGTTCTGATACTGCCGTCCGGTAGCGCCAACCCGCGAACAAACCCCAAAATCTAGTAATTACTAGATAGTGATCCGTTCCCAGGTCAGCACCCCTGAACACTCGTGTATCCATCACCTGTTTTCGCAGTCGGTCATCCACCAGGAACAAATCAATCATACTTCTCTCATTCTTTCTTTCTCTAGTGTACATATGGATTTTCCTGTGATTAAACATAGTGTTTGTCACAAGAAGACCCTTTTCCTTGCATACAGCCAGTATAAGTTTGCTTTTATCGCCAAACTTTCCAAGCACCGACTCGTATCCTGGTCGAGCGATACCTACCCATCCATTCAAATCACCACATACAACAGTTCTTTCGTTTCCCTTAACCAAATCTAGAACTTCTCTTACATTCTCCCAAAACTCCTCCAGCTCAGCTCTGGACGATGAAGCTACCGGTGCATAAACAGCCAAAAGGAATAACTTCGTCAGTCCCAGTTTAAAGCGAACCCAGAGAAGTCTTGATATCACAACCTTGTATTCAGTCATAAGATCGACCAACCGGGACGACAACAGCACCCCCACTCCCTGGCAGGCGTTCTCGCTTTCCGGGACTCCGGACCATATAGCTAACGTCCCGCCAGGGAGCTCTTCAGTACCACTGCCTTTCCGTTTGGTCTCCGACATACACACGACATCTAATTCTCTTTCTTTCATTATTTCGATCAACTCATTCGTCTTATCTCTCATGCCCCCTCTAACATTCCTCGTGCCAACTCTGCACTCCGTCCTCCACCTTCCGCCGTGTCGGGCTGTGCGTGACGGGTGGCGGTCCCCATCGCCGCTTTGCGCGCTGCATTCCACACCAACGGGGACGAGCTGGTGTGCGTCGCCTTGGGGGGACGCCCTAACTCTCGTTTGCATGGGTGCGCAGCTGTGTAGAATTGCGGCCCTGAAAAGGGCTGGCAGGGGTCGCGACGAGCACGCTTCTACAATGACCCCCATTTTTGGTATTTGAAAAGGACGAAGAGAGAACGAAATGTGAAATATGGGTAAATCAGGAATGTCTAGAACAGGTAAATGAAATTGTATACTTGGGGAGTGCTTTCAGCCGGGATGGAAGATGTGATTTAGATGTGGATAGGCGTGTCGCTGCCGGAAACAAAGTCAATGGTGCCCTGAATGCATTAGTCAAAAGACAAGGCGTGGTGAAGAGTGCACGCCTTGCAATACATAACGCAGTGTTGGTACCGACTTTGTTATATGGCAGCGAAACCTGGGTATGCCAGAAGAAGCATAAAAGCAAGTTGAATGCAGTGGAGATGCGATCTCTTCGTAAAATGTGTGGCGTTATCATAGCCGATCGAAAGCGAAACGAAGAAATTCGCAATATGGCAGGATTGAAAGATGACCTTATCACAAAAATTGATAGGGGCGTACTCCAATGGTTTGGGCACGTTGAGCGAATGAGTGAAGACCGAGTGGTGAAGAAAATATATAGAGCGAAAGTAAATATTAAAAGGTGTCGAGGTAGACCGAGACTAACTTTCGAAGACCATGTGAGCAAATTGCTCGAAGAGGGGAAGGTCAAGAGTACTCGGATACCTAGACGTGTATGTATGAAAAAGTTAATGAACCTGAAAGAAGCGAAAGAGGTGTGTAAGGATCGTGACACTTGGCGATCTGTTCTCTCTGGCTACCCCGTTAGGGATTGTGCGTGAAGATAAGTAAATTAGCAGTTTGTGACTACAGTCTTGATAGGTACCACTCTTTGTAAGGCGTTGAGCTGATGCGAGAAAAGGAAAGAGTTTGTGACGAGTAACAGGGTGTCACAGTGATATTTTTTACCTTATTCTAACAAAGGTGACTGTCACATGTATGATAAAGAAAAACTTGTGACTTAGTAGCATCGTCAAAAGGTCAAGACGCATTCGTTTCATAAATTTAAAAAATATTTTTAAAGAAAATATAGGTAAGTCACGACATGGAGAAAAAACTGTACGTGAATTCGGTTTATTATCGCATGAATAATGTATATTTACCAAATAGTCTTTAAATTTTATTATTTCTAGTAGATTATTCTAGAACATTTAATTATTATTGTAATAAGCACCCTCTGTTATCCTGTATCATCACTATTTATTTACCAATATGTTAGTGATTGACGACGTGCCTAAAACGGATTTTTACCTTATATTTGGTATATTCATCTTGTGGGGAATAGCTAAAATGTTTTCCAAATAAATATTCAGCGTAGTAATGCTATGTTACGCTAGAGGGCATAACACAGGTGCAAGCTCACAGATTTATATGTAAATGTTCCCAATGTCCACTCTATTATATATATTATATATATATATATATATATATATATTATTTTTTTTTTTTATATATATATATATATTTAATCTCTTTGTTTGTTGGATTTGATATTTCCTGTAACTGGAGATATTTTTTCAGTTTATAACTGTTACAGTCTGCTATTTTAAGATACCTGTTTATTTTATCTGTTACGATTAATACGCCTCAATACTATTGAGAACTAAGACGAAATGCCTCACAGCCTATAAGTATACTGGCTCTTTGTACCCTTCAGACAGGAACACAGCACAGCAGAGCATGTACTACTGATACAAATGTGTAAGATGGTGATAACTACATATATATGTATACGGACCCTTAGAGAGAAAAGAAGTTGTACCACCAATAAGTTCTTGAGAGTTTTGAGTTTTATCGTCACCTCTGCAACTGACAGCAGCAGCAGAGCAGCAGTTGGATGATCTTACGTTGCCATCACACGGTAAAAATCAAATATTATTTTATGTTTGCAGCAGTCTATACAGAGCCAGTTACTGAAACATCGCAGTTAACAACTCTGCCAATAAACAAACGAATCGAAGAACTGAAGCAAAAACACCAACCAAATATTCAGCTACGACGGGTTCCTTTTGCTTCAGTAGTTGATACAGAGGATAGTGAAGATAATGTAAATTATGAAAGTGAGCAAAGTAGAGATTTTGTAATTACTCCTATAGTGAGTACTGATCGAAAAAAGACAAAATATAAAGCTACAGAGACAACAGCTTTCAAAAGTACCCCAAAAAGTAAAACAGGCAAAGGTCACACGACACAGAGCCACGCATTGCATTCCAATTTAAACGCGTCATTAAGTAAAATCAAAAAGAAACATTTGGCTAAACCAGCTGAGGTATTTTATAGGCGTTATGAGGATGAAGAAACTAGAGACGAAAAATGGAAATGGGCTCATTGTCAAGATATGGTTACGCCGTTCCTGACTGGTATAAAGAAAGAAACGAATGAATTGAAGAGGTTGTCCATTCGAGACCCTACCGTCTTAAAGTATGAGTATATAAATATATAACCTATTATATATAATATATATTGTCCCGTTTTTAAATAATATACAAAAAATAAATCACATTAAAACATTATATTTATTACTCCTAACGATTCTATTTCTATTACGTCCCGTGGGTATGTATAAGGCGACTAGGGTAAATGCCAGAAAGATCTCATGACATCTTCAAAATGGTGGTATTACCATTTTGGTGATGTCAATATTTCCTTGCCCAATGACATCAGGAAAGCACCCACTAAGTTTATATACGTCGTAGAGCCATGCTGAAGTTATATTAGTAGTATAGTTGTAGCACGAATGGCTCGGCTCGACCGGGGAAGGCCACATTCTCACAGAATACCAGCGTAAAATAGTAGTTGTTTCATATGGTGAGTGTAGAGAACCGGAGACCGTTTTTACTGGAAACGAGGCATTCCATCTTAGTCCTCACGGGTGACAACGCATCTGCATTTTGATTTGTAATCGAGGATAGATGTAGATGTCTATGGGCCGCAGCAAACACTTACCATTAGGTGGACAGTGTGCTCGTTTGTCACCCTATCCTATAAAAAAGTATGCTTTTAAAAAGTTTCTTTACATGGGGTGACTGGTAGAAAATGCCTCACGGCATTAAGCCCAGCCGTTAAAGATATTCGGTGGCGAGGGGAAGCGGTGTCGAAGATGCGAGACATCTAGTATTGCAGTCGCCAATTCGACTGCCAAGCGTGGCGATGGTGGCGAATCCTATTTACGACAGGAGAGACCCCTATACACCAATGAACATAAGTGTGGTAGAGCCACGCTACTGCTGTATTATAGTAGTAGTATGAATGGGTCGGCTCGGTCGGGGTGGGACCACGCTCTCACAGAATACCAGCGTCAAATAGCAGCTTAATGCTGCTGTGTTTTTTATGATGATTAACAATATAGCACCGAGTTGATCCACGGTAACAAGCATTTATATCAATAATAGAACAATTTGAAGAGAATCGCATAAAAAAGTTTAGGTGGAATGATTTTCGGTACTCATGTACTAATTCCTCCTGGGTCAAATGAACGAATCATTCACGTTTGGGATCTGTCTAGTTTGGGGGCTCCAAAATTGTTATTCGATTTTTTCCAGATTATTCCAGTTGCTGAGTGAAAACACTACTACATACACTGAGCAGGAGACGTATTCAATAATTTCTCAAATAAATACCATGCAACTCAGATTTTTCCATTGGGACCTGGTGGCGATGAGAGCTTTACTAAATATTGTAATACAAGGTAAAGAACTGACGGCTTATCCAGTCCATTGAACAACCAGTTCGTTTATTTATTAATTTACATTCTTTGCATGATCACCGTGTGGTGGTGATGGTGTGAGAATATCGACTACCCAATATCACCCGTGGGACACCCACCGACGTGGGAGAGCCGACAGAGGAAAACGAATCGGAAAAAAAATCAGTAGTCTCTTCCTAATAACCTACCTAAAATCCCCCCTATGAGGAAATCTATGGGGGAAGCCCAGGTTCAGCAATGGACTTTAATAGGCAGTAGCGGAATGACGAAATAAATAGAACGCTGTAGAGTCGTGCCGCGGCTACGAGTATATTGTCAAATTTGTCTACCCTTTGAAAAATTACCTTGTAGTTTAATATATATCGAAATTAATACGAATTTGATACTCTAAAATGAATATTGAATATCGCGATTAGAAATATCGATGATAAATATATATTTCGATATATTTATATTTTTACCCAAGCCTCAAGCCGAACCGTGACAAGTCTTATTACTCTTAGTATATTTAGCAATGTTATCTAGCTTGCTACATGTGTGCTAAATAATTTTGAACTGTTTCTTTTTAAATCTCTGTATTAAGGTGATACCTTGAAAATTTAGTGGATTTTCTACTTCACATCTTTTTTAAAGTTTTATAGATTACAAACCAATTTTGGTATATGGTTGACTATATGACCTTGGATTGCATAAAAGTAAAACTCGATTTCTCAAAGTAGGCTCTAATTGGTTACATTTCTTCAAGACATCACAACGTTTTTACGAGTAAGTACATAGAATTATTTTTCCGGGTGTGGCTTTTTTTTCTGTTTTTCCCGTGGTAAGTGATGCCTTTCTCGTTCTCTCTCACATACAATCGCAGCTTGCTACTTTCGTGTTTTGGTTCCTTATTATTTGAGGCATAGTAAATTATGATATCTATGTTCTCATAAACCATCTTTTTAATTCATGACGAAGTTTTATTAAAAAAATGAAAATGTTGTTTGGCGCTTACTTAGCTTATTTCCGAGCGCGTGCTCGGTATAGCTTACCTCACAATTTGCGTATTATGAAGTCATTGCATCACTTTCATTTTGACACTTCCTTAGTCATCTATGAGTTTCACCGACAAAAGAATAAGCCACGTCCCCAAAACTTCGATTTATTTTCAAGGTATCTTCTTAAGTGCCATTTTTCACCCGGTACACGCGGCCTGTTGTGAAAATTTGCAACTGACTGCTCTGTGGCCACCCACAGCCCGCACGCTCAGGGCACAGGGGCACGTGCCACGGCCAGCCTCTAGCAGACTCGACATCGCCGCACGTGTTTGCAAACTATTCACCACCGCAAGCCACTTGTGTGTGGGAGGCGCTCGATACATTTCGAATTTATATGCAGGACCTAGAAATTTCGAATTTCTAGGTCCTGCACGTTGCGGTGTGCGCTAACACATTTTGAAAAAGTAAGTTAACAAATCCCCCGCAGTGAACTGAGTTGACAATAGAATACTATAATACATACATAATAGAACAGGGGAGTGGGCGGAGCCCGCGTAGCCACTAACACGTCAATTCACACGTATAAATGTCAACACGAGATGTGTTTTGACGTTACAATCGTTTCCAAATTTCCCATGCAAATTATTTAAAAAATGCCAAATTGCTCGCTATTTATAAACAAATATTAATTAAAATCAGTCTGTCAACACAGCGAATCGGGTTTGTAGTAGTGATAATACGACGTTATTGCTTGTATGTGTGCTCCCGGCGACGCCTAACGTCGTACAAAATAAGGTTGACAGCCATTCTATTGTGTATTATAGTATTCTATGGAGTTGACACAAGTGCGCCGCGCAGCGTAGTCTTACACACGTCTAGATCAAAACTGTCTACTATTGTGAATATTTTCCAGGTCAGAGTCACACATTTACCGCTTTGAAACGGGGCCTTCGAGCATTGTTTAATAGCTGGCATCTTGACTGGAGTAATACGACGTTGTTACTAAAGGATACTCGCATCATCAGACCATTGTGTACAGAGACGTCACATTTTACTGGTAATTTCTTTCTTTTTTTTAAGCCATGCTTCTTATTGTAGTGGTGGTGTAAGTATATACCTCATATCGCCCATGAGTAGAGTAACAAATGACAGAAAGAAATAAACTAGAATATGGAGAGCAGCGTCAAAGACTTTTATGTATACCACTAGACGGATGTGCGGTCTCAATACATTGCGCTCTAAAGTAAAGTTACAGCCTATATACATCCCACTGCTCGGCACAGGCTTCCCCTCATTTCTGAGAGGGTTTAAGGGCAAAGAAGTGTCCGCCGCGCTGCCCCAATGCGTGTTGGGGAACTTCACATGTCTTCGAAACGTTTTTTTTTTCTTATTCCTCAGACATGCAGGTTTCCTCACGATGTTTTCCTTCACCGCAGAGCACGTGGTAAATCAGTACTTAAAATTGCAATTAACAATTTCATTGATGCCGGCGGGGATCGAACCCGGGTTACTAGCGTTCTGTTATATTTCACGCTCAATCAAACTTACGATCAATTCATTCCTTTGTTGTGTAAAACGCGAAAATGTTTTCGACAATCTAACGCTGATTTTGTGTTAATGTAGCTAAGAAAAGACTGTGATTATTTATGTGCGCACTTTGTCAACATATTTGGAAATTTATTTCAGATGAATATGTTACTTTATTTCGTTCTTGCCTTTAACAGTAACTGTTATAAATTAAAATACAACTATGTGACATATTTACCGTGCCAGCTTCAAGCCCGCGCGATTCACAACTACGGCAAAGTTTTCGTTTATGTTCTGAATTGCCTATATAGTAGAAAAATAGAAATCACCAATTGCTTACCTGCCTTTCAAGCGTGGCGACTAAGGCAAATATCCCCCCTTTAAAGCAATCTATGATATAGGCTTATACACAGCAGTGGACTTCAGATATGCTGTAAGGGTAACAGTAACGCCATGTTTTTATGACGTTATTTTTTGTAGCACGTTATGTAGTTTTTTTTAAGTAAAACATATGTGTCGATGTAGTGGAGAACTTTATTACGGTATTAAAAACCAAAAACGTCTCGTTTTCTTGCAACTTTTCATCACCTGTGCAAGATTTTTTCTTTTTTTTTTATAGAAGCGAACACATGGCCGACCTGATGGTAAGTGAATGCTGTCGTTCATAGAGATCGACATCTATTCTCGAATAGAAAACAAAATGCAGATGCGTTGTCACCCCTGAGGTCTAAGATGGACTGCTTCGTAGTTTAGTAAACAGGCTCTCCAGTTCTCTACACTCACCATACGAAAAGCAGCGCTGAACTGCTATTCTACGATGGTATTCTGTGAGAGCGTAGTCCTTCCTCGTTCAAGCCGACCTATTCCTGCTACAACCATAATAAAGCTGCAAGATGGCTCGTAACGCACTCACAGTATATCAGTGCAAAACAGCAACTAAATGTTTTTGAAGTAATTGGAGCCCCTTTCTACCGGAAACGAGACCTTCCATCATAATTCTCAGGGGTCTGTAATCGCATTCGAGCCACAGCACCCACTTATAATCAGGTGGGCTGTGTGCTCGTTTGTCACCCTTATTCTATAAAAAAATATGTACTGTGCCATCATCACCAGCGAACTCGAACATAGGACTTTCTCAGGTTTGGAGAATTTGAATGGTCGCATTTTGACGGCGCAATCATGATGTATTTCTTTCACCTTTAAAATTGTTGTCGTTGGTTTAAGTACTTTAAG